ATATATATATATATATATATATATATGGTGGGGGGCGTATTTGAACCCTTTTAAAATCTAGAATTTCATATAGTGATTTTCAAGGTTGGGATGCTCACCCCTCTTAGAAGCCTGATGAAAGTCAATCTAGGGCTGCAATAGATTAACTTAAATCTTGGTAAATTATTTCTCAGGTTGATGCAAAATTTCTCACTTCACTACATTACACAATGTTAGAAAAATCTTAGAAATATCTTTGAAGCTTGCTAACAAAATTCATTTATGCATTTGGTGAAATTCAAAAGGAATTCTTTATTCTGAATTGCTTGCACATTGACAAATTATTACTGTGCAATGCTACAATAAGCAATTTGCTGAGTAATATCTGATTTTTACTTTTTATTAGATGAAGCATTATTAACATTTGATTAACTTTAATTTTAATTGTTTCTTATTGCAACTATTCAGATAGTTAATTTACAATCAACAGTAAACAGCATAGAGTAGAAATAAAGAATAGACTCTCAGCATGATTTGAATTGCATATCTTTGCTCCAGAAAACCATCCAGCTACTCTACCAATTAAGCTACAAGAAATTTTATGGCTGGCAGCAAATCAAAGCTAACCATATAGAATTATATTTCATTTTTCCTAACTACTCAGTGTCATATTTACTATTATTTTACATATCCTAATAGTGTAACTAATAGCAATATTAGCATGTTTTTATTTCTTATTAGATTAAACATTGTTAATCATCATTCTTTTTAATGAGTTTGAATTTCAATTGCTTTGTTTCCAATCTACATTGTTTGTTGATGGCCATAGACTGATGGTTTCAAGAGTTGCAAATAAAACTAACTGAAATTAAGAGGAAAATTACTAGTCAAAAAATAGTAATTAATCAGTTTTCTCATTTGAATGAGATCTTTTTCCAGGCAAAGAAAATTGACTGATGATATTGTTGCATGACAAATCATATCTTTATATTGTAAATGTGATGTAGCAAAAATTCATGAAATTATAATTCCACATTCATCCAATTCTCCTGACCGCTCACCTTCAATCATTCACTTGTTTGAGCCAGTGCAAGAATTTAAAGAATTTATTGTATCAAATCCAGAATCATTTTTTTATGATAAAATACAAAATTAAGCTAAAAGGTGGCATTGGATGATAGAAAACCAGGCAAAATAATTTGTTGCCTGAATAATGATGCTATGAATTTTTATAAATAAGAGATTTTGTCTAAAAATACTAAGACTTTTTCTATGAATTCCTTTTTCTATATTTGTATTTCTACATTTTTCTGTAGGTTTATGTATAGATTTTAAAACATAATTTCTTGGTGAAAAGTATAAGAAAATGTTTTTCTATGTATAAATAAATATAGTTAATGTTATATATATGAGTATATATAATAATGCATTTTTATGAAGTGGTATTTTTGGGATGCTTGTGTCTAAATGTATTTTTTATATATTTCATAAAAACAAAGGAAAAAAAGCTATGTGATTAATAAATACTGTTTTCTTATTGGTGCTATTGTTTCATTTTTCAATATTTTTGTCTTGTCATTTATATTTTTCTTTCTTTACAACTAATCAAAAATGAAAAGGAAAAAGAATAAAGATGAATCAAATAAAAATTTTTAAAAATTAGATAATTTGATGAATTGGTTTATTATTAATAAATGTTCAAAATACATAGGAAGCTGTTTTATAATCATGGATAATGTTAGAGGATTATTGTTATCAAAACACTTTATTTAAAATGAATTAAAAAATAACTGCAAGTCAATAAATTTTATATTCATTTATTGTTATTATGTTTATAGCAATGAATTTAAATAGTTCCAATTTTTATATTCTTTACTTAATGTTATCAGCTAGTTATTGTTATCTAAAAATTTCTGTTCTAAAGTGAGCAAAATATGTGGCTTCCTCTGAGTTTTAATTCCTGGAAGTAATCCTATGATATAGGGCATTCGTGCATTTGTATATGTAGCATGTGTATGACTTAAGCTCCTAAATTTTAATATTTAGATCCTTAAAACATATATATTGTGATTCAGCATCTTCCATGGAAGGTTTTGATAAACAATCTATTCCTATACTCTTTATATAAGCAAAGATATTTGTAAATTAAAACATGTGTAATAGTTTGCATTAAAAAATGCAGCAAAAGATAAGGTATTATTTTAGCATTTTCTATTTCAACCTGATGTCATTCAATTATTTTTAAATAAGTTAATAAATGAATAATGACTGAATAATCTGTAAAATATTCCACACACTTTATAATAAAGGACATTATTTCAACATTCTTAATAAATTTATTTACTTCATATAAAAAATTAAAAATTAAAAAACACATTAATCAAGTTTCTATTTATTTATATATAAAAAACCTGTGTAATTCAATTATTTTTTTAAATGAACAGTGAAAAAAATTAAATGAAAATTAAAATTGAAAGAATACACTAGCATGGCTACCAGGCATTGCCTGTGTATTATATTAAAATAACACCAGTAATGCATAACTTCATGATGAATTATATTCAGGTAACCTTGCTAGTAGTAAATAGAATTGAATAGACATTCAGTTCATTTTCTTTTATAATAAAATATAAGCCTTAACACTTTTCTTCAAAAGCTTATTATCAATCTCTGATCTCTAATTGATTTTATTCTTATTCTTTTTATTTGCTTCTATCAAAGTTAACTATGGGAGTCAATAAGCAGAATCACCCATGTTTTTCTCCATCAGCTACTGTGACATGTCAGTGACAATGTAGCATGTGACTCACAACAGATAATGCTGAAAAAGTCTTTGCACTTAATGTCCTTCAGCAAAGACAAGTGTGTCAGTAAGTTGACCTGAAAAATGACTTCCTAGCCACCAGATGCTGAACCATGCTTCACCCAATGTCAGTGGCTGCTCCTAACATGTAAACATGTGGTTGATCCACATCTAGAATGTTCATGCATGGGAAAAATATATAACAGGAAGATATATAAACACCCACCAAAGAGAAAGAGAAGGAAAGTCTCTTATGTTCACACAAGAATGTAGAATCCACATTTGGGAAAGCCCCAAATTTACATACACACTCATCAACCAGTAACTGATGAAGTTCAGAGTTGAATAAACAATGATGTTACATATGGAAGATTTTGTCTCATGTTCTCATTATCAATGTGTATGATAATAACCTTACAACAAGGTATTTTATCAAAATACCTAATGAATTGCAAAGAAGTCACTGTCTGAGTTTTGAACTTTGATTGAAGCTACTCCAATCTCTGTTTGCTTATTCTGTTTCTTGTGCTGGCAATTTTCTTTATACAGGATTCTGTGCAAAAAATCACATTACAAATTGTTAGTCAATAGAAATTGTATGTCACAAAATAAAAGCCAGTTCTATTGATGAAGTGTTATTCTTAATAGCAACATTATTCCAAAACAATTAAAATTTGCAAAATATGGCTGACCCTTGTATCTGAGTATGTCTGTTTGTTAGGTTAGCTATTGCAAACACCTGCTCAGGCATTTTTGTGTTTACTCAACACCTTCAGAGCCAACCTGTGGTTTATACTGCAACTATGCTGAGCAGACCTTAGTTACACTTTCTGGGAGAGAGGACATAATCTGGCATGATTAAAAGTTTAAGCAAGGCCAATATACTCAAACCCTCAGTTTACGATGACTTGTGACTTTATGCTAGCACAATTGTTGACAGTTTCTGAGCAGTTTTTTTCGAACCATTTTCACTAACAAACTTGGGTCAACCCATGGTCTGGTTTTCAAGCACTTCCAAAATATGCTATATGCAGTTGTCTCATCAGGCTGATCTTATGAAGAAATCACACCTTCTTAACAAATTGACCATGGGGAGATTTGAACCCTGGCCTCATGAACAGAATGTTAATGTTCTGACCACTCATCCATGCACCCATATACTTTAAAGATATAACACTGCAAACAGAAAATACATGCCATAGTCTTTTAAATGTTCTGAAATGTCATTTAAATTGGCTCCAAACATTTTTCTTTGAAATGAAAATATGTATATATATATATATATATATAAACATTGCCTTATATTTGTGAAGAAATAAATTTATATTTATGTATCAATAAAAAATCTGTATATCTGTTTCTATTTTCTGTTCATTTAATTAAAACTTGGCTTTATCTATTGATCACTCATTCTCAACCAATCAATAGTCTTTGTCTATTTTGTCATTCAATATGTCTCCATCTTCCTATTTGTTATTCAATATAAACTGTTGTCTTTCTATCAATAAATTCCAACCTGCTTCTCTCTCTCTCTTTTAGTTATTCTCTTTTAATCTAAATCATTTTATCTTTCTCTTAATCAAAGATTCTGTTGATCCTACAGTCTTTATAAATCAATCTATGTCATTATTCATTTGCCTTGACGTCAATCTATATTCACCCTCTCTTATGTCTGTTGTTGAATCTAATCTGTCCGTCTATCTGTCTGCCTGTCAGTCTGTCTGTCTGTCTGTCTCTCCTGTTCTCTCTTCTATCTCTCTTTCTCTCTCTGCTTTCCTTTAATGATGAACTTCTTTAGCCATCATAAAATAAACTGCTGCTCTCTCTGTCATTATAGTCTATCAGTGAAACTGAAATTACTTCTGGATATCACTGAATGCAAACTTCTCTACTTTAGCTTCATTATTTTCTCTCTCTCATTTTCTCTTGTTCTCTTTCTCTTTCCTTCTCACTTTTTATTTCTCTCTGCTGCTCTCCCCCATCACTTTCTCTATCTCTTCCACTCTCTCTCCCTCCCTCTCACCTTCTCTTTCCCCTTTCTGCTCTTTCTCTCTTTCTCTTTCTCACTGCAATGGAATTTAAGCCTCTTTTTGTCATTTAGCCTTGATTTATTTATCATTAAATTCATCCATCCTTCATTATTAATCCCTCCGCTTTTTCTTTCATTGAATGCAATTCTCTTTCAGCCTATAATTAAATTATAGCCTCTAACTAATCAATGACTCCCTCACTCTCTCCTTCTTTTCTCTCTCTTCATAAATACAAACATCTCCTTACCTCTAAATTAAATCTTCTCTTTCTATTTCTTTATGATTGCCTCTCTGTTTACCATTGAATTTAGATATTTCTTTACTCATGATTTAACTTCATTCTGTGAACGAATTTAAATCTTATTCTTTTCTTGTCATTAATTATAAATCTCTTTCTCTTTCTATTATTGATTCTGAATGTTTGTAACTTTTCAATATTCTGCCTCATTACATCAGAAACAAACAACTGTGCATTTCAGTTAAACTTACAAACTTGGGAATTGTTCACTTCATTCACTCAGGAGCCACCTTTAATCTTCTTTTAACCATAATTATCTGCCACAACACCTGAATCTGTTTTAAAATCCACAATGACCCTATTTTAATGTCCTTCAAGTAATTTTAGATTTTCAGCAGAGTGAGTGCCTTTTTCTCATCTGTTCTGAAGCAGACAAACTTGAAAATATTTATAAAGAAAAAAATGGAAATTTATAAACAAGTAATTCAAATTAAGTATTAAAAAAATGCTTTGTTGTCTTTTTTATTTTCACTGATCTATTCAGATCAACTTCATGATTCCCAATAGGTGTAGGTTTGAATAGAGAAAGAATACAACAAATGAATTTAATTGAAGCAGTGTTTTGTGAGTATTTTTAACTGCTTGTGCTGCAAGAAATTCACAAACTACAAAGTTGTATTTCAAGAAATTTATAAACTTATTGATATCTTTTTAAAAAAATTACAATCAGTTAAAATGAGTCAACAAAGAGAAACAATGATCACAGAGATTTCAATTTTCAAACATTAACATGGCTCCATTTTAAACAAGAATTCTGAATTTTTTTTTAAAATTTAAATTAAAAATTTTTTTTTTGCTTTTATGAAAGAAATTCTTGGTTGAAAAACAACAGAAATCACAACTTTTTTGGATGGTAGATAATTGAAAAACTTATCTAATGAATTTTTACATCAGATAATTTTGCATAGAGATTTTGGTAATATTTATCCTTTGGACCCACAAAATTGTTGTGCCAAAAGGACAGTTTTTCTATTGACACCCACTATTACTGTATACTACCTCAACCCCCTGAGCAGCATATATTGTTGTAAAAAGCTATATTTATAATTTTAATGAAACCCAAACATATGAATGTGCATTTATACATTTTTTTTGTTCTTGAGAATTGACAACAAAAATATTATTAGATTGTTTATTTACAAAAATAATTTTAATTTTTTACAAGATTATAAAGTGGTAAATGATAAATATTTCATTATAATTGGTTCACATATCTTTATAATTTTGTAATTTTTTGTAAATTTGTGAATAAAAAAGTACTATTAATATTTATTTCTTTATAAAATGGTAAATAATAAATCTTGTAAACAAAAAATCTAGCATCTAAATAGTATGTAACATTTTTGTTATTAAAATTCTAAACATAGCTTTTTAAAACAATAAACATTGCTGAAGGAATTGAGAGAGTATACAGTAATAGCAGTATCAAAAGAAAAAAAAACATCTTTTTGTCACAGTTTTTTTTCAGGTCCAAAGGTTAAACATTGCTGAGATTTCATTGTTTTAAAATCATACTAGACCAAATTAACCCATATCCCCTTGAAATCAGTTTAAACCTGTTTTTAAATTCTTGTTTTTTTTTTAACACCATTTGGTTATAGTTTGTATTTTCTTGATTTCAAATGAAAATTTAGAAATTTTCCAACATATTTCAGTGAAATTTCCACTTTCTAAAATTATAGTTTATTGTGGGAAATTTGTTGAGGCTTTCCCATATGAAAAGTTTAAGGTTAAATGTGACAGAATTGATAAAAGCAAGAGCGACTTGAAAGATTAGAGCAGACAATTCTCTCTTTTAGGCAGATAAATAAAGACTCAAACTCCTGTTCTACAATAGAAGAAGAAAATGTTTATTTACATACACAAAAAAGGTAAAACAATATACACAAATGAGAGAAAGGGAGAAGAAAATTCCTTTAACTTAAAGGAAAAAAATGTTCATATAAAGGCTTGCTCAAAATATTTCTCTCACCACCTAAAAGTTCTTTAAGCAAGTAAATTGTTCTTAAGGGGTTAACACTCACATAGATTTCTTCAGAGCTCTTATTGAGGAGGAAATTGTCGGAAGGTCCAAACTTTGTAGTTGAGTGAGTCCGTAGGCCGACGACAGGAATTTCTAGGTGCAAGGAAGCAGATCTCAATTAGTTTTTAGTAAAGTGTTGACGTTCTGTCTTTAGAGCCCAGCAGGTAGATCTCTTTCTTGAAACTGGTTCCGAAGATGACTGGTGTTCTATCGCCGACCTGATGTTATTGCAGTACTCACTGCTAAAGAGGCATATATTTTCTGTATTTATTGAGATTCCCTCCAAAATTACTATACACTTTATGGGCCTTCTCATTCATCAGAAAATATATTACCTCTGATAAGAATCAAAATTTTGGAAGCTGCTTTTTGGAAGCAAGGGTCTGACAAGTTGTAAGTGTTACTCCCACAAAGACTTTATGGCACCATGGTCAAAGTAAGGGTGGTCAAATTCCTTTTTATATTTTCCAGCTCTCCCATCAGAAAATATATTATACTCTGATAACTAATGCTTTGGGAGCCAGATTTGAAAGCAGAGGAAAAAGTTGGGGCAAAGATCAGAAAAGAGACTAGCATGTGAATTTGTAAAACATTTAGTAGTGGTTCTCAAATTAAATTCTAATATTATAATTATATTTTAATATATATTGAAAAAAAAAGAAGGTCTCAGTTTAAACTGATGCAAAAAGGATATGGGGTAGATAACTCTGTTAATATTGTGGGTATATTGTGTAAATAATGTTTTATATGATTGTTTCTCTGTACTCCATTTTCACAATGCAAACTCATTTGAAATAGGCCATTTCTGGAAATATGTAATGGTTAGTGGAAAACTAAATGCAATATGCTGTAGAAACTGTCTTGAAGTTTGACATTATGACAGAAAAATGTACACCAAATTTGTTGTAGTGCTGATATCATCATCTGTCTTTTAAATTACTGTTCTTTTATTGTTCTCTCTCTTTAATAATATTTTCTTTTACCCATATTCTCTCATACATAGTAACCCTATGTATTTTAGTGGCTTTATTGCCTTTGCTTGGGGTGAAATGATTAAAAAAAATCTACCAGACATGCAATTAAGTAACAAAGTAGAAACATAGAAAACATGAATATTTATTCAAATATAAAATATATACATATCTGAACTTGATACAAGGAGATCTGGAAATGGAGAAGAGTTAGAATCTACAGAGTTTTTGAACCTGATTTTAAATTTAAAGGAATTACTTTAGCTAAGCTCATTCATGTTAAATATCTCCATATATCTAACAACAATACAATAACTCTCCCTTCTTAACTGCCAAAGTACTACAGACTCTCCAGAAATTATTTCTCTAAAATATGTACAAATGATTTTAAGAAAGGAAAAAGTATTCTAAAAAAACACTGTTTCTTATTATGTGTCATTATTTACATTGCAAAGCTAGTATTTCTGTTTCTTATAAAATTGAAAAAGTGTCATGAGAAATATGCCTTAGGATACCTATGTGAAACAAGATTAATTATTATTCATTCACTCCTACATTGAAGGAAAAAAACAACCAAATTGTCAGGAGAAAGGCTAGAAAAGATCAGTATATCTCCACTCTTCTGTCAGCCTGAAAATAAAATAGCCCTCAAGATCAGCCTCATTCACACAAATAAATTTTCAAATTATCTTTCAATACATAATCTCTTTCATATTTGATTCTCACTTTAAGTTTACCACCTGTATAAGATATATCATTGTATTGCCTTTTCTCACTCATCATTCATATTACTATTCTGGGAAATGACATTACACACTTCTTTGTATCAAGGAAAGGCAGTCTGCTATATAATTTCATGAAGTCTAGAGAAAATCATTGATCTACAAAGTAAATTAAGTGGCCTTCAGTAAACTCCCAGATAGAAGTCACTGTCTCCTTTTCTATTGACACTTAAAAGAATCTGTTAAATTCCTCTAGACAATTTATCATTTAACCAATGTGTGTCTTCTAAATTTGTAATGTGAGTGAAATCTCTGGATTTGTTAAGGTTCTTATTCCTTGTGCCTAGCACCAAAGAACCTAGCTTTCAAACATGCAATACTTGTCACTATTATTTGATATAATGCTTTCAGAATCAATCAGCTGATTAGAAGAAAATCAGGAAAAGCACAAAGAATTATATGAGATTCTTTGTAACTGTTAAGTTTCTTTCTTCAAAGAATGTTCCTCATAAAATTTTTCCATTCATCTATTTGAGGAATGTTGATCATTGCAGGAAAATCCAATTTGACACTTTCTCATATCTACCAAAAGAATGTTGTATTTTCAAATATATTTTTCCTGGTTATGGCAATTTAACTACAAGCCATGTTCCAAGCAGTCATACTCAGCCTCTTCTTCATTTCTGGCAAAAAAGCATAAATGCATAGCCAGTGATGGTAGCTAAATGGAAAAATAGATTTTTGTAGCTGAAAATTTGCTCTATCCAGGAATATTATTGTGTCACCTGAATCTGATATAGTTTCTGGGGAAATAAGTAGGAGGTGTTATTTTTGGATCATCTGTCATATAACTATTTTATGTCATAAATGATTCTTCATTAAAAAATTGAAAGTTAATTTTGGTTCATTTTTCTTCTAAATTGTAACAACTGGTCAACTATAAAAAAGAAAATATATTTTAAAAGCATCAAAAAAATGCTTGAAAGAGAAATCAATTAAAACACTGAAAGGCATAAAATTAAATGACTTTAATGTTTCAAAAGGAAAATTTCTTAATTTATTTTAAAAGATTAAATTAATAAAAAAAACTACAAAACCTTAAAAGAATAAACAAAAGTTTTCAATTTTGAAAATTAATTTTAAAAATAGTATTTGGAAAAATTGGTTAACAAAACTCACAAACAAATATTTAATTTAAAATAAAAGAGAAATATCTTAAGTTAATTGAAACATTAAAAAATAAAAATTAAAAAAACATTCTAATGGGAAATCTTTCAAA